CTATCAAAAGAAGTACTGTGAGTTATTCTATTCAGGCATGAAATAAAATATATTTTTTTAAATATAAAAAATATTCGGGCATTTAAATAAAATATAGACAAATTTAGCTGTTTGTTAAAGCCACACTTTGGGGTTTAGGGATTTGGAGACCTCTCTGGTGGAAATATGTAATTGCATGCAATGAGCAAAAAAAACATTTTGTAACAACATTGTTTGGTATAAGACAGGGGCCAGCAACACACTGCTCCAGAGCCACATGCAGCTCTTTTACTGCCCTGTTGCAGCTAAAAAAATAAAATAATCCTCATTTGCAGCAAAATAAAGCTCTGCTGATCGTTCTAACACAGTTTTAACAATAAATGGTCTTAAACGCTGGAGTTAACGTATAACTGCTTATTCACCCTTTAACCCTAAAGGTTGGCATGCAGACTGCTGGTCACACAGCAACGCAGATAACCTTGCCAAGCTAGTAGCTAATGAAAAAGCTCTTCTTAACATTTGGGTTGCTGACCCCTGGTATAAGACATTGGCCGCAGTTCACAGCTTGATGGAAAAGAATTTGCTAAATAGCACTAGTTGTGTATAGCCTGTTTATGCATGTTCTAGTCTGCAAAAGAATAATTGCCTTGTGCTTCTGACTGGACAAAATGACTGATTACTAAATAGTAAGCCTGGCTTTTAAGGGGTTAAGTTAGCATTCCAAATCATTTAATTATTCCATTCCTTGCAGTACACTAAAGAAAGAAATGTTCCTCTGTGTTTTTTCTGCTGTACCATCTATCTATGTATCTATCTATCGATCTGTCTATGTATCTATCTATCTATCGATCTATCCATCCATCCATCCATCCATCCATCTATCCATATAGGCTATGTTCACATTACCAGGCTGAAGTGGCACAAATTCAATTTTTTGGCTTAATGTCCAAATCAGATTTTTTCAGATAAGATCAGAGCCACTTTGTTCAAATCAGATCCTTTGAGATGACTGTCTGGGCTGTTATTTGAATGTGATCAGATTGGTTTAGTGTGACATCATCAACTGCATGGGTTGCTGTGTTAACGACGTAGCTGAAACTACATAGCTAAGCTGGTGACACGGATTTTACATGTGGATGCAGGAGAGATGGAGGTGTAGCATCTCGTTGCTCTGGATTTGACATCATTGTTGTTTGATGCATTGCGAGTAGCACAAAAGACACTTTGGAACCCGATTTGAGCGGCCAAAGCATCCAAACTCTATAAAAATCTCATTGGAATTGGATTTCAAACCACTTCCAAATGTGGTTTGGATCCGATTTGCAAAAATCTGATATCATGTTTTTTTTGCAGTCCAGACAATCAAAACTCAATCTGAATACAATCTGAATGCAATCTTAATGAGAATGCTAAGACAGGAATTTAGTGGGGTGTTTTCTTCTGAGTGCGTGCCATCATTCAGTATTAAGGAGGCACACCTGAAGTCGGTGGACACATGAAAGCAACACATCCGACCCCTTTCGTTTTTGTCTTGCTCTAATAGTAAGCAGCTGAGTGCTGTTCAGGGCTAATTGTCTTCGCAGCAAAGGCTTGCTCTGCTGGAGAGTTTGTTTGATTCGTTTATGTGACGTTATTGATAAGGATGTGTGCATGCAGGGTCATTTCAGGATGCCAGTTCATTCACATTAATGACAGATTTGAGTCACTTACCTACACGGATGTGAACAATCAGATCTGAGCAAAAAATCTGATTTAAGTAATAAGGCTTGTAATGTGAATGGAGCCTATTTATCTGAAGAGTTGTGTCTGATGTGTTTATTCAGGCAGAATGCTAAAGTCTCCAGAGCTGTGACCCAGAAAGAACCCAGTTTGACATCCCAGTCCAACGTCTCAAACTACATTATACGAACATTCCGTTTTCTCGTAAATTAACCATATTGTGGTTTATCTTTTTACACCCAACTATCCCAACTAACAGTTCTTTCCTAGACACTTAGAATCTTTGGACACATAAATTAATATTTGCAGATTTGTGTGTCTTTGCCTTGGGTACTGTTTGCCAGCCGTGTTTCAGAACAGACATTCTTTTTTAATATCTGCTCAAAATGAATGTGTTGAGTAAGATATGGTAGTGGAGGAGGAATTCCATTCTGCACATTCATTTCTTCAGTGTCTAGTTGGATTAGCTAACATAGAGGCCATATGATCTATGGCTTTGTGCTAGGCAACCAAATGCCGGGAAAGGTAACAGCCTGAAATAACATGCCAAAAACGTTCCCTTAGGAGTGACTCTTTGCATTTGATGATGTAAAATACTAAGTAGCCTCACAAACAAACAGTAAATATATTTGTTTAAGTGAATGTTGGACTATCTGGTTAGAAATTCAGAACACTTTTTAAAATAAAGCTGCTAGAAGGTTTTTTTTAGAACAAACCCAAGGACCACCTTAGTAAAAGACCTTTTTAGTGAATAAATCTTTATAGGAATACTCCTGTATTTTAAACTAATTTCAAGGTTTTCTCTGTACTTATAAAAGAACAAAAAGCCTGATGACTCAATGTACAAGTTGGTAGACACTGTGTAAATAACCAGCTACTGAAAGGTTCTTTTTCTATGTATCATTGCTGTCCAAAGAAAAATATGTGTCTCCAAAATAGTAACTTTACAGGAGAGGGCAGAAACATTCTTTACTTTTAATGTAAGTCAATGGAAAAAGATTTTATTCTAAACAAAAAGAACAGCTGCTGTGCTGAAATGATGTAGAAAAGTGAAAATCTTTGGACAGCAACAACATAAAAGTGTATATATATATATGATATATATATATATATATATATATATATATGTGTGTGTGTGTGTGTATTTTTAAGGGCACTGGTGTCTCTGAATAGTTGCTATTGTGAAGAATTGCACATTATTTTCATTTGCACTCATATTTCATACTGCATACTGTACACACACTGTATAGCATATATATACAGTGCCTTCCACAAATATGGGCACCCCTGGCAAATGTGAGCAAAACAGGGTGTTAAAAAAAACATTCTTTATTGCTTATCCTTTTGATCTTTCACTCAGAACTTTCAACAAAAATCTAACCTCTATTCGAAATACAACAACTGAAAAAAACAACATACTATATTACATACATATTTTTCTCAAATTTGTGTGTACCACAGCTGTTGGCACCACGTCGTGCTTTGGCTTTATTGTCCTGCTGGAAGATCCAAACTACAGCCCAATTTAAGCTTCCTAGCTGAGGGTCAGGTTTTGATTTTATTTTTGCTGGTACTTGATTGAGTATCTCAATAAATTGTCCAGGACCTTTGGAAGAAAAACAGCCCCACAGTATCACAGATCCAGCACCATACATTACAAGAGGATATCTTTGTGTCCATGCCAAACTCACTTCTGGTGTTTGTTGCCAAAAACTTCTATCTTGGTCTCAACTGACTATAGAACACGGTCCCACTGAAAGTTCCAGTAACGTTTGGCAAACTATAGGAGCTTGAGTTTGTTGGTCCTTGACAGCAGAGGCTTTCTACTGGCAACCCCCCCGCCCAAACACACACACACACACATATAACTTGTGGTTATATGGGTGGTGTTTGTAGTTTGGGAGACGTTCTGACCCTAAGAACTAATTTCCACAACTCCCCATGTCTAATCCTTGGAAATTCTTTATCCACTCGAACCATCGTCCTCATTGTGCATGGAGTGTTGACATATGTCCTCTTCCCAATAGATTTTTAACATCTACAGTTGTTTTAAACCTCTTAATTATTGCCCTTATAGTAGAAATATGCATTTTTAACTGTTCAGCTATTTTCTTGCAGCCATTTCCTGATTTTTACAGCTTAACAACCTTTTGTCACACATCATTGCTGTTTTATCTGGTCTTTCTCATAATGATGGATGACTGAGGAAATTTGGCCTGTGTTTCATCTCATATGTGTTCCCCAGTGAATCAGGAAGTCATGGCTGACCATTTGAGTGTTCGTAATTACTCAGGAGAACTATAAAACATAAAATATGTATGGGAATATACTTCAGTTAGATTTCACTCTTAAGAATTTCTAGGGGATCCATCTCATATTGTAATCCATCCATAATTTCTGTTTAAAATATGCACTAGATAACAAATGCTACACGGCCTTTATTGTCTTGTACATCATTCCAGGAATGTCTTTTCAGGGGAATTCTAGTCACTTTTCAAAATATCTGCATAATTTAATGGTTGAGACATAAACAAAGTTTGATTTGAGTTGGTGCACGGTACAAAAACCAAGAACCAGGATGATATCTACAACGTAAATATAGCCATCTTATTTACTCGCCAAAATGACTGGTGAACTTGCATGTCTTCTAAATTTTATTTGTGGTTGATAATGGTAAAACAGTGGTAAATCTGGGGAAAAAAGTTTTCTCTAGGTACTGTTTTGCCTAATTATGCCCTGCATGTAACTTTTCACCATGAAAGGATATTAAAAATACATTTTAGCTGCAAACTTTCTCAAAAGTATCGTAAAACAATGTCTCAGGGTTCAGGCACTGTGTAACTATTTCATATAATAACTTTCTTTGAAGGAGCTTTCAGAGACAATAAACTCTTGAGATATCTGGTTCTTATTACCACCACCTCGAACAATTGAGTCGATAGAATAGAGCATTTCATATCAAGCCACTCTGAATGACTTTGTTTGTTTTGTTAACTACTTAATTATGCAGAAATTGTGGAAAATCAGTGGAATTCCCCTTTGACAAGAATGATAAATTAAATGGTTTGTTGCTATAGTTTATAAACTTTGAAAGCCTCTCTGTCCCAGTGATCTCATCAGAAGAAGGTTCTGAAATATCATTCCGTCACGCTATGCCATCACTAGTCAGCCTGCATTGCTCTTGGCAAACTCTCAGTGGGGGATGGGGAGCAAGAAAGCTTTTGCCTAAGATGCTGAAACATTTTCAGTGGCATTTATGTGTCTTCTAAGTCACCAGTGTCATCTCTCACTTTACTCTGCAGGTAAGGAATGCAGAATTCTGCTCTGTTAACAGAGCCCAACCCAGTCTCTGTGAGGTACTGCACCAGCGTAGAAGACATAGACCCACATCCAAGGTGTTGCTTGGAGCCTGGACTGGTTCCAAGCGCTGCTTACTATCCCATATCATCACCTATCCAGCAGCCCAGACAGCAGGCCAAAACAAAGCCTGGTCTTTGATGCGGTGCAAGTATATTTGTGTTTATATAGCCCTCTCAAGCATTACCACCTCATCAGATAACTCCTTTACGGGCTAGTACTGTACAAAGCCTGGTCCGTCAAGGAGTTATGTGGCAACTGAGCATGGAGGTTGCTGGTATTTTATGGATACTTGATGTTCTTTCTGTGTTCTGAAATAGCAAACATTCCTGTTGTATTTTACCACTTAAATATCAACATGTTTGCAAATGTGGATATGTGCAAATGAAAATGCTAATACAGGTTATTCTGTTACCAGACCAATGTACTGTCCCAGTAAAAATAAAAGATATTGGTGTATGTTGTCTGTATGTTCAATAAAATATACAAACCTCAATTCCAAAAAAGTTGGGACAGAATGTAAAATGCAAATAAAAACAGAAAGCAGTGATTTGTACATCCACTTTAACCTGTATTCAAATGAAAACAGTCAAAAGAGAAGATATTTAATGCTTTACCTTATCCCTTATACCTTAACACTGCTGACTTCTTTGGGCTCAAACTCATCTGAAATGGACTGCTGCACAATGGAAACATGTATTGTGGTCTGATGAGTCAACCTTTCAGATTTTTGATGGAAATAATGGACATAGTGTTCTCTGCACCAAAGAAGGCCGTCCAGATTGTTACCAGTGTAAAGTTCAAAAACCAGTGTCTGTCATGGTATGGGGGATATTAGTGCCTGTGGGGTACTGTTATTAAATTATCAGAATTTATTAAAGAGAATTTATTAATTCTGTTTACTTATTAATTCTATTTAATAAATGTATTAAATTTATTTATTCTGTTCAACAAATGTATAATTTATTGTTGAAACAGAATTTATTAATCACTGCTTTTTGTTTCATCAGCATTTCACACACTGTCCCAAGAAATTTGTAGAATATATTGTAATTATTATTTTTTGCATGGGTGTGCAACTTTTGTGTTCTGAATTTGTGCACGGATGCTAAAAGGATTGACTTGGAATAAGCCTGTCATTTTTGGCAACACCATGGTAAAGCTGAAGTTAACCCCTTAAACCCTGAAGGGTGGGCCCATGCTTTAGTTCCTCACGAAACTACACAACATACAGATTCATTTCATAGTAGAAGCCAAATAATGAATAGAGTTACTCAGTGTTAAGTTTGATGATTAATAGCCAAGTGGTTGAACAGAGCAAACAAACCTGCTACTTAGTGAAAGGATCAACTTTAATAAATATATAAATACATGCTACATAAAGTGAAAGTCAACTGTACTTACAATTACAAATGAAGGGAGATCATGGTACTGGGACAGATTTTGGGGCCTTGATTGATTAAGTCATTGGGAGTTTCTCGTGACTATGCTCAGGTCAGTTGCTGGGTGGCTTCCACAAGGTGACGCAAGGCTAATCTCCCATAAGCCATCACAAAGTGTTTGATGTTTTAAACTGACTCCTGGCTGATCCTCTTTAGCCACCCATTCAGGGAGGGATAAGACAGACACATATGTCTTAAGCAAGGCTGTGATTCTGTACTTAAAACACCTAGCCAAGGATTTCCCTCTGTACAACAGCCATTCAATGTTTACATATTTTTTAATGACACTGTGCCTAAGTATGCATCTAAGTTTTCTAATCATGGTGAACCAAGTTGTTTTTCAGCTGAGTATTTTTTACATATTTACAGTGTAAAATCTTAGGATAAAGGCCTATGTTTTTACTCTTATCATTACCCTGTCTAACATATTGTTGACAATACAATCAGAGACTTTGGTGATGTCTCTTCTAACTCATTAATATCTGCCGGCAGAAGAGTTAGAATGTGTGCATGTCCACATTAGGCACAGTGAAATGTAGCGTGTGGGATCTTTGTGTGTGGTACCAAATTTTCTATGACTATACAATAGATGCATTATGCTGCCTTTATTGTTGGATGCACTGTGATAGTCTTTGTATAATTGAGAGCACACATTCCGTGCAGAACTGGGATCACTAAGACCTTATTACTGATTTGTTTGAGCAGTGACAATAAAAGACCATTGAAGTGTAAAGAATACACCTACTCATGTTATGTTGCACAAAAAATACAAATAAATCCATAATTTTTTTATTTTATTAGATCATGTTGGCCAATTTTTATATATTAAAATAAATGTAATGACAGCATTGAAAATCACATGATTGAAAAAGAGCAAATGGCAAAAAATTATCCCTTTTGATGTCTCAGCATGAAAGGGTTATTGAATTCTAAATGATGTTTTGCTTCCCACAGAGATTTGCTGGTCAGAAAGTTACGCCCATCATCCATGTAGTTTGGACCCAAACATCAGTCCAACGAGAAAGGAAAAATGTGAAGCTTTTCCAATCCTTTCTAATTTCCTCTGTTATGATCCATTATGACAATGAAATGTAACAGCAAACTCTCAACCCCGTCTTATTTCTTGCTCATTCGGGTCTCAGTAAATGTCTTGCTATAAAATGTTTAATTGAGCTGGCATTCATGTTCCAGACCTAAATAACAGAAGTCTGTCTTTCATCAGGGCCAAAGTAAATGTGACCCTTTTGGGTCCTTTCACTTTTCACACATGTTGCCAACTTACAAAACTGGAAGACAAGCTCAATAAAACACATTATTTAATGACTTTTATTGGCTACTGGAAGCAATGCAGTCTTGTTAACAACACTTTCAGTATGTTTAAATGTCAAAAATCACATCCATCATTTCCTTGCCTCGAAAACTGCTTTGTTTCAACTCAGTAACTTTTGAAAGTTGACTATAAGCATAAGTAGATAACATTACATCAGATAATGGTGTTCCACAAGGTTCTGCTCTTCGCCCACTATTCTTTGAGCTATATTCATGCCTTGGCCGTATTCTTCACACTTAAGAGTTCACTTTTCACTTGAGCATCTCTCATGTTAGGAGAAAACTGAAAACTTGAAAAATTTCTGCACTCTATACAGCTAATATTTTAGCTTTCGAAACCACTGGAGCACAATGACTAGTGGTAAATGAAGTAGTGGTGAATGACTAGTAATGAAGCAGTCCTGACAGAGTCAAAATCACCATGAAGACACTTGTCAGTGATCAATATGATAGAGTGCTTTTGGGTAACCAGTTCCTTCTGATAAGTAGGGAAACTGTTTGGAAAGACATGAATGTATCAAAAAGCTTCTGTAAAGTAGAAATCTGAAGTATTGTGGAACATGATTTGTTTCGTTTCAATAACTGTTCTGTCTGGGCCTGTCTTTTAGAGACATTAAGCATAACATTTTATGTTAGTGTAAATTAGTTTTTTCCATAAATAAGTTCAACAGACAAAGTTAAGATATATTAATTTACAAATAAAGCAAAGAAATAGAACACTTTATAACCATTATATGATAAAAAAAAACAAAAAAAACAAGACAGAGCTGTAAACAAGGTCAGTTTACCTATAAGTTATTTCAGGAAAAGAAATCAATTAACAAACAAGTGAACATGATGTGAAATTTCTGTTTCTTCGTGGAATCTGAAATTACCACAGAAGTACTTTAAAAAGTCACAAGATTACATCATGTTTATAGGCATTTGATCAAACATGATGTCAGCAAGTGAAATCACTGATAATTTGTTGATATTGGATGAAGGCCTGGCCAAGGTTTGGTGTAATTATCAGTGTTGGCATAAAGATTATTTACCCCAGAATGACACACTGGAATATTACCAGATCACTTTCCTGGCATGTTATCATCCATGTTCCGTCTTGCCCACTAGGAAGTATCTTTTGAGCATTAGCATAGATCTATACAACACATGGTTAGATTTATGCTGTTTTTGTCACTGACATCAGTTCCAGATATAGCAGACATTCACCATTATAAGTAATTTTAGAGTAGATTCCATCATTTTTTGGAACACATACTCATCCCACCATTTTTTCTGGACAATTGTTTTTATCAGTGTGTTGTATAATTTTAGAGGAGCCTACAGAATTAATATATCACCCCAATGAGCAAGAACTTTGGAGCCAGTTTGTGGTGTGTGCATTCAAAATGAAATGTATTGGAGAGGCTTTGTGTCCTCAAACGGCTGTTTATATTATGAATAAGTCTTTAAGAGACTTTTCAGTTAAACTGTAAGATTACAGGTAATTGTGATTGCAAAACCAATCAAATTAACCACTGGAATTTCTACAAGTTCATTTAAAACCTTAAGGTCAAGCTCTACACTTACTCGAGATCTTTGCATGATCTATTTGCATTTCTGTTCCAAAGTCTCTTCTGTAATTACACAAATGTCAGAATGAAGGAAAATCTATGTAGTACATAGTTTATGCCTGCATTCAAGTTATGATTTGAATCATGTTTGTGTATCTGACAGATTTCACTGCATTAACCACAGTTGGGACGTGTTATCAGTGTTGAAATATGTGAGTTTCCCATGGGGGATTTTTCCCAAAGGGACCTAACCACAGCACATGTTTGTTTCAAGTATATTGATTAAATAGTTGCTGAATGAACATTGCACAGCCACAGTGAATTAGCTAAATCTTGTGCACATGATAAGTGCAGCCTTTGTCCATGTTACAACATATTATCAACATCAGCACAGCAAGAATGTCTTGTTTAGTTAGTCACTCTAGAGCAAAAGGCTAAATTTGAGGCTAAAACTCATGTTCATCAAAGTTTATTCCCCATGCATGCTGTAATCACAGGCATCGAGATATAAAAAAAGGTACAGTGAAGATCAACTGCAGAAAAATCTTGGCATCAGTTCAGCTGATATAAGCAAAGACTCACGTTGAAATTATGATGTGATTTGGTTTAGTCAGAGCATAGCATCATGACAAACATCAAAGACCAACTTTGTGGAAATGGATTAACATGGCAATCCACCCAAATAGAAAATATAACCATATGTTTTAAATATGACTACTAAGATCCTACAGTCATCACGGTAGTTTCTCTCTATATATATACAGGCATTTTTGGGGCCTTTTGAGGCCTTTTTTTTCACTAGCTGGCAAAAGCAGAAGGAAGCCAGAGAGGTAATGTTGATTCTAGGAAGCTGAACATTGCAGCCAGAGACATCTAGTAACTGTCTTTCATTTATCATTAACAATAAAGAGAATGAATTACTCAAACTACAGAAATACTGCAATAGATGAGGAGGACAAGAAGTTAAAAGGTAAAGCTAGCAAAGCAGCTATCTAAATACTTTATCTCAGTTTTTTTTTTTCTGAAAGGGTAAAAACTTGTCTCTGGCATCTGTTCTGTGCTGTATAAAGTTAGAATCACTGTTTTCTTTACAACTTTGTTCAACAACCGAGGTAAGAGTTACACTAGTTACTTG